AAGAAGATGAGGATATCCGGTTGAAAATGTAGAGATTATTGAAATAAGAAGTTTAAAATAAGAGTAAAACATAATTAAACTTATAAAATAGGAGTAACTATTTTTTCGTTTAAAGTAAGACTTATTTAGTCATATTAAAAAAGAAAATAATAAAAAATATCTAAATAGGATCGTAGTACGTGCATCGGTGCATCTTATGCCGATAAGAAAATAGTGATATGAACCCGCACGGGTAGCTCAGTTGGTCGAGTGGTGGGAGATTTGGAACAATGGACCAAGGTTTGAATCCCCGCAGCGACCGGGTGGAGGTCACAGAACCTGAAATAAGGCTGAGCCTCTGGTGCGCACAGGTGTATGGATCTACTGTCATTCTGCTGACTGAGTCACCTTGACAAACATCCTCACCATCCTGTCGGGTCGGGGTGAGGGGACTCCTGGAGTGGGAGATTCCATCTTTTAGAACAAAGAAAATAGTGATATGATACTCCAATTTGCAAAAATGTACTATGTTTGTGTATTTACGGTTTTTTTTCTAGTGCCATCGGCCAAGCAATGGAGAACTTTTGTTGTTTCGTAAAAAGAAAGAATATTGAGTAAAAAGAATGAAAATGAAGATCCGGTTTCCTTTTTTTTTTTTCCGATCATTTCTCACATATCATATACGGAGTAACACATACGGAGTAAATAATAACTACTCTCCCATAATCTTGTAAAGAAATCGTTCAAAAAACTTGTACGTCATGATTTTTTTAAAAAAAATCGGACTAAATTTATTCTTTCCAAGGTAGGACTTATATTTCTTTTAAAAAATAATAGGGAAAAGTGCGCAAAAAGTACTTGTGGTCGTTGAGTCCGTTTTAAGATGGGATCGTGTGTTTTATTTTTTAATAAAATGGTTCATGTGTTTTAATTCCATTATCACAAGAGGATCCTGACATTTGACGCCGTTAAAAAAGTCTAGGGAAGACGATGAATAATAACTCCGATTTTCAAAAAGGCGCGAAAAATTAAAAAAAATATCAGAAGATGCGGCTCGTCAAGATAACCTCCAAACCACCTTCCTCTTTGGATTTTTCAGATCTATTTCGATTATTTTTTAAAAATGAATTTGCTAATATTACTTTTCCGGTGGACTTTCCGGTGATAAGGGTGGCTGGAAACAAAAAAGAAAGATGGTCTAGCGGTCGTCTTGTTGAGGTGCAACTTCCGCTATTTTTCTTTTAATTTTTTGGGCACTTTTGAAAATCAGAGTTATTGTTCATCGTCTTCCTCCGACAATTTCTAACGGCATCAGGTGGCCAGACCCTGTTGCAGGGCCGTAGATGAGGCTGTGCAAACAGTGCCTTTGCACAGGGCATCCAAAAAATTTAGGCTTATTTTTTAAAATATATATAGTATATATATAAAGTGATTGTTTCATTTATAAATAAATTAAATATTTTAACAGGAGAACCCATTTAGATTTTGAAACACGGATAAATGAAAAGGTCGTCGAACGACCCAATTTGAAACAAAAACAAGCAGGATGCCTATACTCCAAATTAAATGAAAAAATCTTTAAAAAAAACCCTCACTTTCAAAAACAAGTCAGCATTTCGGTTTTTACATTCGCAGTCAGTATGTGCTCTTTCTTCACTACTCTGTTTTTGAAATTAAGGTTTGAAGTTCTCTTTGAGATTCTTTTTTTAAATCAAAATAGTTGATTGTTTTATTTGGTCGAACGATTCAAGTTATTCAACAATTCGAGTCATCCGGCCAAAGGTAAAATTATTCTCTTTTTCTTACCCAATTCTCATATTAAGATTTTGTCATATTGATTTGTTTCTTTCTAATTTTAGATTTCTTTTTACTGACTTTATTTGTTCAGTTGTTCATGTTCAAAAATCTGATTACCTCATTTAATCCATTGATTGTAGCCCTTTTGGTTATTTTTTGTAAGTTGATTTTTTATAAGCCGAATTGAAGAGTCATTAGGCGGTGTAGTTTTGCTTAAATTTGATGTGAATCTGGTTATTTTTTGATGGGGTGCATCTGCTTAAATTTGAACCCAATACTTATTTTGATGCTTTATTTAAATTTGAACCCAATACTTATTTTGATGCTTTATTTTACTCAATGTGCCAGATGATTTTGATATGCTTGTAGCAAGTCTGAATCTGAACATTTTATTTGTAACTTAGATCTTTGGATTTTAATTAATAAAAGGCCTAAGTTTTGTGATTTGCAACGGATCTCTCCATGAGACATGTCGGCCCTGTTGTGATAACGGAGTTCAAACACATAAACCATTTTGTTAAAAAATGAAACACATGACCCTATATGAAGCCAGGCTCAACACAAATACATTTTCCGTACTTTTCTCAAAATAATACTATGTGTTATAAAAAATTTCAAGAATAAGGATAAATAAGTCATATTTAGAGAAGAAAAATTTCAAACAATTATACCCATCAGTATGTTTTGCTCTTATTTAAGATTTTTTTATATGTACTCTATTTTTTTAATTTACCATTCTCATTCCTCTTCTTTATTTGTCCTTTGGATCGAACGGCGGCTACAAACTTCCACTAGAGATCTGATGTACTTAAATGCTAAGACCTCTTAATAAAATAAACTTCCGTAGTACTCCCTCCGTTCCTAAATAAACTTTCAACTTTCTTTTTTCGTCCGTTCCAATTAAAACTTCCACTTTCCCTTTTTAGTAAAGAATTTGTGGTTCACAATATTTCTTACACATTTCTCTCTCCTCTGCACAACTCTCCACCACACAATACCCACTATCTTAAACTCTGTGTCAAACCTATTTGGAAGTTTTAATAGGAACGGGGTAGTACTCTTTTAGTTGTTACAACTAACTCATACAGATTTTTAACTTAATGAAATGTCTATATAGTTGTTACAAGTAACTTTTATACTGAGGATTAACTTAATGTTCTTTTAGTTGTTACAACTAACAACTTTTATACTGATAATAATTAATTTACGGATTTAAAAGTACGAGCCTATAGAAGAGATCCTCTTAAAGTAAGTTCGTTAATTATACGGAACTAACATTAACTCAATGAAATGCATATGTAGTTCCTTATTTTAATTAATACGCATAAAAATAAATTAGTGCTGATATTAGTTATATATTTTAACACCCGAAATTTTATGTAATCGAGCAATACAAAATGTACTTTTACCAAAAAGAACGTTACAAAATGTACCGAAAAGGACATATAAAAATGTCACATCAGGGTAACTACTTATTACTTCCTCCGTTCCTAAATAAACTTTCAACTTTCCTTTTTTGTTCGTTCCAATTAAAACTTCCACTTTCCCTTTTGGTAAAGAATTTGTGATTCACAACATTTCTTACAAATTTCTCTCTCCTCTGCACAACTCTCCATCACACAATATCCATTATCTTAAACTTTGTGTCAAACCCATTTGGAAGTTAAAATGGGAACGGAGGTAGTACTTGAGTTTGGTCAATCGACCAACGGAATTTTGGACATTAATTTAATCTAAGAAGGGCGTACAAAACTACTAAAGCAGTTTTTGAAGGGTGTTTGACGGATAAGTGCATATATCTAACATCTCATTCCCAAAGATATACTACCTCCGTTCCTATTAAAACTTCCAAATAGATTTGACACAGAGTTTAAGATAGTGGGTATTGTGTGGTGGAGAATTGTGCAGAGGAGAGAGAAATGTGTGAGAAATGTTGTGAACCACAAATTTTTTACTAAAGAGGGAAAGTGGAAGTTTTAATTGGAACGGATGAAAAAGGAAAATTGGAAGTTTATTTAGGAACGGAGGGAGTATTTTTTTTGAAGTTTTCTGGGATAGTGCAAAACGGAGTTGACAAGTCCGAAATCAATTATGCTCCCTGGGTTAGTATAGGTCATTGCTTGTAACACTTTTGGGAGATCGTTGTACGATGTCTCCCAATTGCCAAACCGTTTCTCGAGTGCTAATATACGAGCATACCACGCTTTCTTATATCCAACATGAATGTTATACTTTTGGTGTATGTCATTCATTATTAACTTAATACTATACTCTGGTTTTATGCGAATCGTGGAACTAATTTCAGAATCGATGAGCTTACTTGTAAGGAGTTTGTCGATTCTGCCTCTTGTATAATTCGGAAGGCAGTTATGGCGGGGTTGATACTTCTTTACTTTCCAGAGGTTTGTGCTCTTCACTTGTGATGTTTGAATGTGCCATGAACACATCTCATCATAGACGCATTTAGCCCTCCAGTATGTTGCACGTTTTGCCTCACTCCGGAATGTTCGATATTCTTTCAAGTTTTGAATAGAGACTGCTTCTTTGAGTTCGTCATACGAATCATATATCCTTCCCACTTCTATTGGGTCTACGACACGGTATGCAGGTTCAACAAACGGATCCTCTTGGTTATGTGGCATAACCCAAGATGAGTCACGACTATCATTACTATCTTCGGAAGCGCTCTCCTCTTCCGAAAATGAAAGATAGTTGTAGTCGGGATCCTCTTCATCCTCTTCATCCTCTACGTCCTCATGTGGCGGATCCATATCAACCATTGAAGGACCTTGAGTTGATGGTAATGGCTCCCGGTTGCGCCGCCGCCTAGAAGGGCCTTCGTGCAATGGAATAATGACATCCCTATTGTTTGCATCAATGAATAGCTCCAAGCGATCGTACACGTTCGAAGCTATTTGCATAAAATAGATCCATGTCATCCGGATCATCTCTGACTCGTAATCGGCGAATAATCTCACCCAAACATTGAATCTAAAATATGCATCAGTTTTTATAATTTGTTTCAAATTATTTATTAATAGAATTACGAATTAAAACGAATAGTTACCGCAATAGCCGCTTGTGGGTGAGCAGGAACGAATCCCTCAGTGGGACGATCAACACACGGGTTTGTGAGCCATCGTTTTCCTACATTACGGTACCACTCGCGGTACTCATCACTAATGAGAGGACCTTCGTCAATCCACTGAAGTGGGAATATTTTGTTCCACCGTAATGCCCATTCTTCAACAAGCTCGACCATGAATCGTGATCCACTATTGTGGTGACGATGCCCTGCCACCACCGGAGCGGGTCGATCCTGATATGCGTTGAATTGACGACAAAACCTCCTAGGATAGTGTGCCTCAGAAAAACGTGTATAAATCAATGGAACCTCCACAGCCCACAAATCATTCGCATCATGACAATATGGTGGAAGGTTCATCAACGGATAGGGGATCCATTCGAACTGAAAAATATCTCCCAATTAGTAAGCACGCATAGTTATTTATAACATTTAATTTATTGAAATTGAATGTAACAAATTAAAAATCATGTAAAATTGAATTGTACAAGTAACAAATTATACCTCGTCTTCCGTCATCCGATCTAATTGGTCTCTATATACCCGTAACGAAAATGTGTTTGTCTGCTGCCAATCATGTTGACACGCCCACCTAGATTTAGTTTCCATGAATAATAATATAAATAAATAAATAGCGTTGATTAAAAGTATAAATAGCATCTTGTAATACAATAATCGAAGTAACATAGATAATGTATTGTTTATTTAAACAATACCTAACAGCATACGGAAAATCCAATATATGGTCAAGTGGGAGATGACCTTGGGGCCGAACCATCAGCAGCCTCTCCCATGCCCAGATTTGTAGAAGGATTAAACATCCTCCAATCTGTTTAGCCTGAGCCTTGGCCGCCTTACACATGGTGTGATACAGATAGGCCAAGACCGCTGAGCCCTAGCTCCATCGGCGCACATCTACTAAGTTCCCCTGCAACAACTCCAAGAAATACCAACTAGCCATGTTTCCACTAGTGGTAGGGAATAATGAACCACCTAACAACAGCCAAATGAGGGCCCTAGTGTGTTGAGCCACCTCGTTTTCATAGCTCCAATCGGTTAATGGAATGGGGTGGATATTCGTTACTTTTATGGTAGTTGAATTTAAATCATCATCTTCTTGTATAAAACCAACAGACTGTGCACACATCTGCAACAACGCTGCCTTATCAGAAATCGTGGGACCAGTGAGTGGTATGCCGTCAATGGGCAACCACAACAAGACTTGCACATCCTGTAAAGTCAATCCTACCTCACCAAAGGGCAAATGAAATGCGTGTACCTCGGGTCTCCACCTCTCAACTAACGCAGTCAGAAGTGACCAATCTAACTGCACTTGTCCTATTCTCTCGACACCGTGAAACCCAGATGATCTCAACAACCGTACCACCTCAGGATGACGCGAACCATCATCAACATAGGCACATGACGAATAGTGATGACACCTCAGTTTGTCATCTTGAAATGCTGATTCGTGCCACACACGATCGGCACGATGCTCACCGGGTATCATAACTAAAACAGAATGATCCCGAGGGTCAGGGTGTGCAACTCGTTCATCCATTACAACCTACAATTAATACGTAAACAAATACTAAATTTTTTATCATGTTTTTAATTTAGTGTTAATAAATGTGTTCAATAATATTATGTAGTTTAAAAGTTCTACAATTATTACTACTAATGGATATGAAGTAAGTAAATATTAAAAAGTTCTACAATTATTACTACTAATGGAATAATAAAAACAGATAATATTAAACTTCTTTTTGTAATTATAATAATAATAATAATAATAATAATAAACTCTAACCTTTGAACAAGAAGCCTTGTTTGTTTGGTTGGTGTGAAAGTGTAGGAGGAGGATAAGAGATGTTGGTGGGTGTGAAAGTGTGAAGGAGGAGCAGTATTTATGCCGAAAATGTTATCACGTTGGAATCCGATGGAACAATGAAAATGCTCAGAAAATGGGAAAGCGGCTGACATTTTCTGACGCCAACGGCTTTTGGAGTTGTCAGATCCGAAAAGCCTCAAAGTTGCTGTCAACCACTTCAAATTCAGAGTACTGAACTCCGTTTTACTCTTTTTCATCAAAAAAAATACATCAACGCGATTCGGAAACACCTGCTCAATTTCTACTCTGTTCCGTCATTTACTCGTTTTTGAAGCTTAAAGCCTTTCTTTCAAAAAAAAAAGCATAAAGCCTTAAATACGGCAGTGTGCCCAGAATCTCGTGATGCCCATGACTCGAGAGCATCTTTATGCCAAAATGTGCATCATACACCTATCGTACTGGAGAAATAGATACACAAATATTAATAAATAAAATATTTATCTCATTATTTAAATAGACTTATAAGTTTTTCAGTTTTTTATAAGTTTTTCTATATAATGTCAATAAAAATGTCTTCATGTACACATAGTAGTTGACATTATTATCAAAATTATGTAAAATCGTAGAAAAAAGAAAAAAGAAATGTCAACAATGTATTTTTATGTGTATATATCTTTCATGCTACATGTGTACCTTACACATTATAATATTAGAGATTTCTTACTAATATGAAGTACTATCGTAAATTAGAGATTTTCTTACCAATAGGGAGTACTATTGTAGTAATAAATTTTTTAGAGGTGTAGTAGTCAAATACTCCATATTTTTATTTGCCGGCTTTGCGGTTAGTGTTAATTATTTCGAGTGATTTTTTATAGATATACTTATTGCCTAGGATGTTTAGCTCTATAAATCATTTTTATATTTATATATGCTTCTAATTCTACACTTTCATTAAGATTATCGATTCATCTTTCTTTTTCGCTATACCTCATTAAGATTGTAACATATAGAATTTGATAAAGTTTGTGTGGTAAATAATTCAAAATCGATTTAAAATTTACCTCATTAAAATAATTCATTCTTTTTTTATTCTTATTTTATCAATTTAAAAAACAATCATTTAAACTCGTTTTTCTTAATAGTTGCAGCACCTTCACATGTTTCAATGTTAGCGGAACAAAGATAGTAGTTATGTTGAGGATTTTGAAGTTTGACGAATCCTTGACAATATATACTTTAAAGAGAAGTAGAAATTAAAATTTTGAAATTAAAATTTGAAACGGTAAAACTTAAAGGGTATTAATACCTACCCTTTAAGTTTTACCGTTTCAAATTTTGTATTTAAGTATTACCTATATCATAATTTGGATGTAGAAACTAGAGAGAAAGTTAACTATGTTGACTAGGGAATAATGAAGTTTCACTTTTATTTTGGAACGAAGATGGTATTTGTTTATTTTTAGTTTGGTAAATTCATAACAATAATCCATACTTTTAGAAACTTTACATTAATAATCCTTATTCAAAGTGTTTACAAAAATAATCTGAACTAGCAATTATTTTCATAAAAATAAATTGGAATGAATTCAAACTAATATTCGTTTAATATTTTGACCCCTACTCTTACTTTCCCCTTCGATCACCACCCTCCATCTCGATTAACATTTTTATGTTACAACGTAGAGAGCACCACATATGGTTGAAATGGTGTTGACATTAAACGGATTTTAGTTTAAATTTGCCTCGAAAAGAAGAGTGAAGAAGAGAAAAGTGAGAGTAAGGGTTGGAGTACTAAAAAGACATTAATTTGAGTTCACCCCAATTTATTCCTATGAACATTGTTGCTTGTGATTATTTTTGTGGAAACTCTAAGTAGCGATTATTATAAAATCCTTAAATGTTAGGATTATTCTTATAAATTTCACATTTTATTTTTCAAAGTCTACTACGGAGTAGTTTATTTATGAAACATAGATAGAAATAGCAGTTGGACGCAGATTTAAATCGACTCTGTTCGGGCTACCAGTTTCCGGTTTTTGGTTTATGTGAGCAACATGTGAAGGGCCGAAAGACCACAGAAACAGCTTAGATCTATTTGAGGGAAAGAGTTACGAAGCTGTCAAATCAAAGATTTGACTTGAACGGTCTCGAATGGGGCAAATGGGCCATTTTTCATTTTCAACTAAACATGCATCCGTTGAAATACGTTGGAGTATCATAATGACAACAAACGAGTTAAAAGTTATCAAATAGAAGTTCAGTTAAAGTTATCAAATAGAAGTTCAGTTAAAGTTATCAAATAGAAGTTCAGTTAAAGTTATCAAATAGAAGTTCAGTTGATTCATTTAATTGCAATGTTATCAAACAGGCTCGTAGTCTGATCTATTTAAATCTAATTTAGGTATATACTCCGTACACATCTATTTTATGTGTTTTTAATAACTATCAAGTCTAGTCTAGTCCGATTTATATATCTGATTTAATCTGGTGTGTTTTTATTTTGTTAGAAATTGAAGTTAGTCCCCCATAATAGATCAAATCACATTACACACTTGGAGTCCGTTTGGTGACCTTGTTTATCAGCTTATCAGACTTTTCAGTCACCTTTTTCACCAAACTCGTAACTCGATTTCACGCGATGAATTGCAATTATTATAGAGGATCATTTTAGGTAGTTTTCTTATAACTTTTATTTATTTTACTACTAAAAAAAGTTTAAATATATATTTTGCATATATCGGCATAATCAGCCAATCAAATCACTTCAACTAAAACTTTATAAATTTCAACAGAATCAGTCGATCCGGCCAATTTTAGTGTTTTCTAAACAGGCTTTTAGAGTATAACTTTATACGTCCGTCGTCATCCTGCTAAATGATTAACATGGTCCTTTGTGAATGTAATACAGTCAAAGAATAATTAAAACTTTCTTTGACCGGCGAGCGTAGCTCAACTGGTAGATGAGGGTGTCACAAAGGGTAAGTCTCGGGTTCGAATCACATCAATGCAATGAGAGGTTACCATGCTAAAATGTATAGGGCCCCTGCAAGTATCAGAGTCAGAGCCTCACTCTCTATCTGCTAACTTGTGATTAAAATCCAATTTACATCCTCTCATCTAACTGTCCGATCGATGTTGAGAGACCCTTTTTTATTAAATCTTTCTTTGAGGTTAACTTTTAATTCCTCAAAACGAATATTTATTTAATATGTAACTATCTATCGATTCCCATTTGTTTTTTCCGCATCACCAGAATAAATAAATGTGACCAAGAACACTGAAATTCAAGAAAACCAGGGTAGGTTTTTTTATGTGAGGAGTTGAAGAGAAGATTGATTAAAAATAACAGTCAAAGAATTGGAAGCTAAGGGCAAACCATTTTTTGGGAGCTTTTGAGTTAATAGTGAATGTGAATGAAGGGATGAAGAGGGATAGTTGGGGAGAGGGATTATTTAAAGGGATTGCTTCTGATTAAGATGGTCCTAAATGATGAAACGGTTAGCAACACAAGAGGGTGGGTGAATTGTGTGTGTGTGGTACCGTGGTAGTTTTTCGCACAGTTCTTGTGTGGGATCTAGGGAAATGTGAAATAGTAAAGTGCACAAGGATTTAACGAGGAAAAATCCCTTGGCTCAAAGGGATTAAAAAACCTCGACCACCCTCGAAGGAATTTTCAACAACTTCACTAATAAGTCTTTTGTGGTTACAAGGTAAATTCTCCTAATCTACCCTTGAGCCACCCCAACTCTATCCTCTCTAGGAAGAGTTATGCAACTCTACCTTGCGGGTAGAGAGCCTCTCAGCTTTACAACAAAGCTCTCACACACACGACCCCAACCCGAGGAAGCTACACTTTAGCTTTTCCTCAAAATCTAGTTACAAGATAAAGAAGGAAGAAGAAACTATATCTAGAACTTCGTAAGCAGGTCCAAGTGTCTTGGTCTTGATAATTCTTAATAAGTATATCTCTCTGTAATTGCTCGGTCAAGCACACTCTTGTTATTGATTCCTCGAATATAAATATGGGCTAGAAGAGGTCCGTTGATCCTTCTTTCCTTTTGAAGCTTGGTAGACTTGCCTTGATAATTTTGAATTTCTTTCCTTCCAGTTGCTTCACTTTATTCGTTCAATCATGAATGATTTTACGAGTCATCATATAAGGAAGCAATATTGATTTACTTAACATGTAGACACGCAACAGTCATTAAGTAGCAATAAGATATTCATGCGATCAAGCTACAAGAATATTTCTTTTTAGGAAAGCTTCGGTCAACCTTTATTAATATGGCAATCAAGTTAAGAAGGCAAGATAGCGTGATATAATATATATAAGCATGCAACGTCCAAATATTACTTAAAAAGTTACGCTACTAAAGTATTCTTACCAAAGGAGTTTCTAGTTGACCTTTTTGGCTAAATGTCACGGTCAATTACAATTATAGTGGCAAAGTATTTATTTAGGTGACACATTTCTTAATAGGCATGCATGCATACATCAATCAATTCTTTTATCAAGCATGATAATTATGTATGTTAATAAAAAAACCATTTACCAAGTTTGTTCCTGATAGAACCGTTCGTAGTTCTATTCAAAGGTCCACCTGCATGGTTAGTTAAATAATGAATTATTGTCGTTTGGACTTAAAGGTTTTTTCTGTTTGAGGTTAGTCATCAACAAAACTAAGTAATCAACAAATTCCCCCTTTTTGTTGATGACAAATCTTAGGTGCCAAAAGAGTCCCTGCAGGTTGGTACTTAAGCAAAGCATAGCAATATAGCAACAGTAGTTTGAGTGTAGCAGCAAAAAGAGACTGAGGCGCCTGATTATTTCTCCCTTTTGGCATCAACCAAAAGGAAACAGAAAATAACCAAAACAGTACCGAGTAAAAGTGCAAAAATAAGCTAGTGTTTGAAGATGTTAAGAAGCAAAATATCCCTCCCAGCCCGATAAGTAAGTGTTTAGAGAAAAGTGTTTATGATAGCGAGTTATTCATCATCTGAA